CCCATATGGGGCAGGGCCATGCAATGGGTGGGGCCCAGGAGTGGGCGGGGGCTTCATATAGGGGGCGTGGCCCCAAAATGGGCGGGGCGCTGGGGGGCGGGGCTCCTGATTGTGTGGGGGCGTGGCTTGGGATGGGTGTGGCTCAGGGCGTGTCCGGGGGGCGTGTCCTGACCCCACCCCCCCCCCATGCGGCAGAACGGGGAGATCCTGCCGCTGGCGGCGCTGACCTACGCCTCGCTGGGGGTGGCGCTGGCGGGGCTGCTGCTGGCCGTGCTGGTGCTGGGCGCCCTGCGGGGGCTGCGCTCCAACCGCCACAGCATCCGGCGGCACGGCGCCACCGCCCTGCTGCTGGCACAGCTCGTCTTCATGCTGGGCATCAACCAGGCCGACCTGCCGGTGAGGGGGGGGGGCCACGTGGGGCTGGGATATGGGGGCGGGGCTTAAGGGGGTGGGGTCCATGGGGGCGGGGCCATGGGCCTGGGGAGCTGGGGAAGGGTTTTTGGGATGGGTGGGGCTAAATGGGGGTGTGGTCAACAAAGGGGCGGGGCCAGCTGATGGGCGGGGCTCCCTGGTGGGTGTGGCTCGAGGGGCGTGGGTTATGGGGGGGTGTGGGTGCAGTGGGTGGGGCTCCAGGAGACCCCCCCCGGAGTGCACTGTCGGTGACGCGGTGTGCGCGGTGCAGCTGGCGTGCACGGTGGTGGCCATCCTGCTGCAGTTCCTGCACCTGAGCGCCGTGGGCTGGGCGCTGCTGGAGGCGCTGCACCTCTACCGGCGCCGCAGCGAGCCCCGGCACGTCGACCGCGGGCCCATGCGCTTCTACCACGTGCTGGGCTGGGGGCTGCCCGCATTCATCACCGGTGAGGGCCCTGCCCCCTCGCCCACCAGCCCCGATCAGCTGGCAGGGGGTGGGCCTGGTTCCCCACCCCCAAGGAGCTTAGCCCCACCCCCAGCTTCATGGCCACGCCCCTACGATCCTAGCCCCGCCCCCAGGGCCTTAGCCCCGCCCCCAAGTGCCTGGCCCCGCCCCCAGCGCTTCCATCCCAAAGAGTCAGCCCCGCCCACACGGCTTTAGCCCCGCCCCTTAGCGCCTGGCCCCGCCCCTTCTGACACCTCCCAGCCCTGAGAGCACCGGCACCCTGCAGCATGGCCCCGCCCCGCTTTGCATAAGCCCCGCCCCCAAGTGCTTAAGCCCCGCCCCCCCACTTTGCATAACCCCGCCCCCACGTGCTTAAGCCCCGCCCCCAGGAGCACAGCCACCTTCCCATCCCTTGCCCTTCCCCGGCCCCGCCCCTGTCCGCGGAGGCCCCGCCCCCTCGTGGAGGCCCCGCCCCCTCCGAGGCCCCGCCCCCCGGAGGCCCCGCCCCACCACGTGTCTGCGCAGGGCTGGCGGTGGGGCTGGACCCCGAGGGCTACGGGAACCCCGACTTCTGCTGGCTCTCCATCCACGACAGCCTGGTCTGGAGCCTGGCGGGGCCCAGCGCCTGCGCCGTGGCGGTGCGTAGGGGACCCCCGGGGCACCCTGGGGACCTGCAGGGACCCCGCTCACCGCCCCCCGCCCCACAGGTCGGCGTCTTCTTCCTCGTGCTGGCGGCCAGGGCCTCCTGCGCCGCCCCCCAGGGCTTCGAGAAGAAGGGCACGGGGTGAGTGGGGGCACGGGGCGATGGGCACCCGTGGGTGGCAGGGGTGTGGGAAGGGCAGGGAGCACCCATGGGTGGTAGGGGCACAGAAGGGATGGCACCCGTTGGTGCCCAGAGCACACGGAGGGCACAGGGGGGCATGGGTGCCAGGAAGGAGTGGGGCACCCATGGGTGGCAGGAACACAGAAAGGCATTGGGGGCACCCATGGGTGGCACGGGCACAGAGAGCACAGAGCACCCATGGGTGCTGGGGCACACGAAGGACAGGGCTGCCCACAGGTGGCAGCAGCACGGGGTGCCCATGGGCAGCCCCACACAGTGTCCCTGCAGCAGGGGGTCCTGGGTGGTCCTGCCCCACGCGGGTGCCTGCCCCATGGCACGGGGGGTGCTGATGCGGGGCCCCCCCCAGCTCCGGGCTGCAGACGGCGCTGGTGGTGCTGGTGCTGCCCAGCCTGGCCTGGCTGCTGGCCCTGCTCGCCGTCAACAGCGACGCCATCCTCTTCCACTACCTCTTCGCCATCTCCAACTGCCTCCAGGTACCCCAGCCCCCCCCCCGTGCCCCCACCCCACGCACAACACTGCCCGATGCGCCCCGAGATCTCTGCACCGCCCCCGCTCCAGCTCCTCTCCCTCTGCAGCTGATGGGGGAACCCATGGGGGCACAGGGGTGGGTGAGGGGAGGGGGAGCACCCGACATGGGGGGGCCTTCACCTGCTTTGGGGAGCTAATGGGGGGCACCAAATGGGTATGGGGAGACCCTCACCTCCTTGGGGTGCCACTGGGGGGCACCCAGTCAGCACCAGTTGTACCTCACCCACCTGCAGTATCAGCAGGGTCACCCAATGGGTATGGGAGGACCCTCACCCACTTTGGGGTGCCAATGCGGGGCTGGGGGGCACCTGAAGGGGGTCCCTTGCCCATCCGGTTGCCGATGGCCCACAGGTGTGCCGGCAGGGGCTCCCTCCATGCCCCCCACCCACAACCCCCCCTCTCCGCCCCAGGGCCCCCTCATCTTCCTCTTCTGCGTGGTGCTGAGCAGGGAGGTGCGGCAGAGCCTGCGCTCCAGCTGCGCCCGTGCCCGCGGCCCCGACCCCGCGCTGGCCACCAAGTCCACCCTGACCACCGTGAGTAGGGAGGGGGGGACACAAGGGGTGGGGGTGCCACCACAGCCACCACGTCCCCGTCCCCTTGCAGGCATACAGCTGCGACACCACCTACGTGGCCGGCCGGCTCTACCAGGCGCCCTTCGGGGACTCCACGGGCTCCCTGCACAGCGTGGCCAAGAGCCAGCACAGCTACATCCCCTTTGTGTGCAGGTACGGGGCGGGGGGGGCTCTCCGGGGACACGCACATACCTTGGGACGCCCCTGTCACCGCTGTCTTGCAGGGAGGACGCGGGGCTGAGCGGTGGCCGCGTGCAGCCGGCGCTGGCCGAGCCGGGTGGGCTCCTCCTGGACGCCGCGGAGCAGCAGCAGGGTCGGTGCGCCCAGCTCGTCCCTCCTCAGCCCACGGGCGGCACGGGGTGGGGGCACCCGCTGACTTCTGTGTGTGTCCCCCCCCCAACTCACAGAGCACGACACCGATTCCGACAGCGACCTGTCACTGGAGGATGACCCCAGCGGCTCCTACGGCTCCACGCACTCCTCCGACAGCGAGGACGAGGCCGCCGGTGCCGGCTGGGACGCGCTGCTGCGCCCCGAGCAGCCGCCCGCACCCACGGGTAAATCCCGCAACGGGGGCCCCGGGGGGGGGGTAGCAGGTCCAGGGGGTGCACCTTGGCTCAGCTCCCCCGTCCCCACCCGCAGGTGACAGCCCGGTGGCCCCAGCGCGGCCGTACTGGCCCGGGGAGTTTGTGACAACAGCCAGCGAGAGCGATGGGCACGGGGGCTCGGAGACGCTGCGGGTGGAGCCGGCGGTGGGGGGCGAGGTGCCCCCTAGGCCTGCCCCACTGCTGCCGCTGCCTCATCCCCACAAAGGTATGGGGCGGCAGCACCCATGGGTGCCGGGGAGCCGTGCCCCGAGGGTGGCACTCCCGGTGACGGCCGCGTCCCCGCAGGCATCCTGAAGAAGAAGAGCTTGCCCCCCATCAGCGAGCGCAGCAGCGCCCTGCGCCCCGGGCAGCCCGTGCCCCCCCCACCGCCCCCCGCCGGCACCGCCGCCTCCTCGGGCAGCGAGGGCAGCCGCGGGGGGGGCCCTGGGGCGCCCCGGCCCCGCCAGAGCCTGCAGGAGCAGCTCAGCGGCGCGGCGCCCATCGCCATGAGCATCCGGGCGGGCACCGTGGACGAGGACTCCTCCGGCTCCGAGTGAGTGCTGGGCGCAGGTGGGGTGTCCCCGGGGTGCTGGGGTGCCCCCCGGGTGCCATGGTTCCCGTTGGGTGCCCGTTGGGTGCGAGGGTGGCCACTGGGTGCCAGCAGAGTGCCAGGGTTCCCCTCGGGTGCCAGGGTGCCTCGGGTGCCCGTTGGGTGCAGGAGGGCCAGCCGGGTGCAGGGGTGCCCATCGGGTGCCCATGAAGTGCCACGGGGCCTGCTGGGTGCCTGTTGGGTGCCTGTTGGGTGCCTGTTGGGTGCTTGTTGGGTGCAGGGGTGGCCACTGGGTGCCAGGGCTCCCCCTGGGCCCCACTGGGTGCTCACCCCGTGTGTGGGTGCCCAGCAGGTGCCAGGTACCCCCTGGGTGCACGCTGCATGGCACTGGGTGCCCACTGGGTGCCCACTGGGTGTGGGGGTGCTCAGTGGGTGCCGCACTGTCCCTTGGGTGCCCAGGGTCTTTTTGGGTGTCCGTGAAGTGGGGGCACCTGCACTGGCCCCAGTCTTGGTGCCGGCTCTGTCCCCGCGGGGGGGCAGCGGGGGGCAGCTCGCACTAACCCTGCTCTTCTCTCCTCCCCACCCCCCGCCCAGATTTCTGTTTTTTAATTTTCTCCATTAACATGTGGGGGCTGGAAGGGGGGAGCGGGGGTGCTCCTGCACCCCCCCACCCCCCGCCACCCTCTCCATCCCTTGTCTGTCGGGGCGAGCGCCGGGGTGCTGCGGGCACAGCGGGCACCCCTGCTCCCGGCCCCCCCGTGATCATGCATCTGTCTGTCTCGTTTTTATCCCCCCCCCCCTCGTGCCCACCCCCCCCGGCAGGAGCGACGAGACCTCCATCTAACGGGGACCCGGCGGGCACCACCCCTGCTCCAGGGACACCAGGGGGGTGGCACTGGGAGGGGGGGGGCATGGAGACGCACCCCCCATTGCACTTTGGTCCCTGCCCCATGCCAGGCAGGGCTTTGCCCCCCCACACACCCCGGGGGGCCATGGGGCAGCTCTGCCGGCATGGGGTGCCCCCCCCGGTGCCATGGGGCACCCCCAGGAATTGTCCACGGCACTGATGCCCAATGGAGTTTTATTTAAAAAAATACATGAAAAATACAAAAAAAAGAAAAAAAAAAAGGACATACGGGGGCCCCTCACCGTGCCAACCCCCCCCAGGAGGGGAGTGGGGGGGGCACATGGCCGGGGGGTGCAGTCACCCCCTCCTCGGCTGTGCTGGGGCACGGGGGGGGCAGGTCGGCGGGGGTGGAGGTGTCTGGCCACCCCCCCCCCCAGGGACGAGGCTCAGGCAGTGTCACCAGGGTGGGGGTGGCACCGGGTGCTGGACGCTGGGGGGGGGTGAGGGACCCCTGGGTGCGTGGGGTGGGAGGGGCCGGGGGGGGTTTCCTACTGCTGGTGCGACCTTTTGTAATTAAAGCAAAATCCAACCTGAGCCTCTGCCTCCTCCTTTTGGGGGGAGTGCGGGGGGGCACTGCTGCCCCCTGCCCCCCCGTGCCTCAGTTTCCCCTGTCACCGCAGGGTGCTGCTGGCCGTCGTCTTCCGGGGGGGGCGCAGGCGGCTGCTGGGGGGGGCTGCTCTGCACCCTGAACCAGCCCCCCCAGGGGCCGCCCCTGCACCTGGGGGGAGAGCAGGCGTGGGGAAACTGAGGCACGGGGCGGCCCCGCATCACCGGGGGCGCAGAGGGGCCGTCCCCGTGTCCCCGGGGGCAGCTCCCAGCCTTACCTCTCGGTGCCACCACGCTGGCCCGCGGGGGGGCCCTCCCGCCTGGTGCCGTCCCCAACGTCCCAGCCCGGCCGGGGGGGGGCTTGGGGATGGCACTGGGTGGGGGGGGGCGGCTGCTGGGGACGGGGACGGCGGCGGTGGTGGCCCTGGCGCGGGGCGCACGGGTTGGGGGGGCGGCAGCAGCGCCACCCCTCGCCTTTGGCTGGCCTGGGAGAGATGGGGGGGTTGGGGGGGGGACCCCACTGAGCCCCCAGCCCCGTGGGGTGCGCTGGTGTCCAGGGGGTCTCTGCTCCCTGTCCCCATGCTGTCCCCATAGGATGGGTGACCCTAAGGGAGGGGTGTCCCCATGGCGGGGGTGTCCCCATGAGGTGACACCCCACCGCACGGGGGTCCCCACGGGGCGGCGCCCCACGGCCGTGTCCCTGTGCCAAGGAGCTGCCCATGCCCAAGTTGTCCCTGTCCCCCCCCCAGACCCGTCACCCCGTTACCTGCTGGCCCTTTCCGGAGGGGCTCGGACCTGCCCCGTGCCGCAGCCCCTGCCCCACGCGGGGGGCACAGCCGGGAAGGGCCCCCCCGGCCAAGGGTTCCCCTGCCCCGAGCTGGGGGTCCCTTGGGTGCTGGCGGGGGGTGACAGCCAGGGGTGTCCTGGAAGCAAAGAGATGGCAGGGAGCGGGACGGGGGGGGCGCAGCCCATACCCCGTGCCCCCTCATGACCCCGCACGTGGTGTCCCCCCCCCGCAGCGCCGTCACCTACCTCGCGGGCGGGGGGCACGGTGGGCAGCAGCTCCCGCACGGGGCTGTCCTTCACCACGAAGGTCTCGCGGCGGGGGTTTCGGGGGCTGCCCCCCCCCCCCGGCGGGCTGGGGCCGGGGCCCAGGGGGGGCAGGTGGCTGTGCTGCAGCTGGGCCGCCAGCCGCGTGGCCTCGCGCACCATCTCCTCCAGCTGCGCCCCGCTCAGGGGGCTCCAGCGCACGCCCCCCGGGGACTCCTCATCCTCCTCATCCTCCTCCCGGCTGCGGGGTGAAGGCCAGCGTCAGCCCTGCCCCGGAGCCCCGTGGTGGCACAGGGGGGTGGCACCCCACCGGGTGACCCTGGCCGTGGGGTGCCACGTCCCTGGTGCCCCCCAGCACCTTGGCTGGAGGACACGGCACCCCCAGGCTGTGGCACGTCCCCGTGTCCCCCCGTGTCCCCCTGTGTACCCCAAAACCCCGGGGCCAAGGCCGTGGGGTGGTGTCCCCCCGTGTCCCCCCCGTGTCCCCCATGTCCCCCCCGTGTCCCCGTGTCTCCCCTGCCCCGTGTCCCCGTGTCCCCCCCTCACCTGTCGGCAGGGGACAGGACGCTGAAGTCGAACCTCTCCTCGGTGATGAACCGCACGTCCGGGGGGGCGCGGGGGGGACCCGGGGGGTGACAGCGGGGGGAGCCGTCGGGGGGAGCCCCGTGGGGCCGGGCCCCCTCCGGGGCAGCTGCCCTGCCTCGCTCCTCCGTCATCGCCTCCGCTCGGCGGGCGGCACCGGGCCCCGGCCCATGGGCGACCTGGGGGGAGCGGCGGTGACCCCGAGCCCCCCCCCCCCCGGTTCCCCCCGTACCCCCCCCCGTGCCCCCCCCCCGGTCCGGGCACGGCTCCCTCCGGGCCGGGCTGTGCCGGCAGCGGGCACAATCGCGCTTTGTGCCGCGGGGACGGCACCGGGCGGCGCGGGGCCGGGGCCGGGGGGGGCCGGGACCCCCCCCCCCGGGGCTCGGCTCCCGGCCCCCCCCGAGCCCTGGGGGTCCCGGTACCGGGGGTCCCAGCCCCGAGGCCCCAAGGCCCGGGGGCTCCCGGCCCCAACCCCCCCCCCGGGGTCCCGCCCCCCGCCCGCCGCCCCCGTCCCGGGGGTCCCGGTCCCCCCCCGCCCCCCTCCCGCTCACCGCCGCCCCCGGGTCCCGCTCGGTGCCGGCGCGGGGCGGGGCCGGAGCGAGGGGGCGGGGCGAGGGGCGGGGCCCGCGCCTTCGAATTCTCCCTCCTGTGACGTCACAATAGCGGCGGCCCGCCCGCGCCGCGCCGATTGGCCCCGCCTCCGCGCCGCGAGCCTTGGCCCCGCCCACCGCGCGCCTCGGCCCCGCCCACCGCGCCGCGCTCGCCGCCCATTGGCTGCCGCCGGCCGGGAGGGGGCGGGGCTCCGGAAGCGCGCGCGGCGGCTCCCGGTGGCCGCTTCCGGCGGCGGCAGCATGGCGGCCGTGCCGCCCGACTCCTGGCAGCCGCCCACCGTCACCATGGAGACCACGTAAGGGCCGGGGCCGCCCGCCGCGGGCACCGCCGGCACCGGGACCCCTCCCCCGGGAACCCTCCGGTACCGGGACCCCCCCGCGTCCCCCTCCCGGTACCGGCACCCCCCGCTCCCCGCCCCCCCCCCCCGGTTCCGGAGCCTCCCCCTGCTCCCCCCCCCCGGTACCGGGACCCCCCCGGGCCCTCCCCGCGGCCTCTCGGTCCCTTTGCGTGCCCTCCCCGCCCCCCCCCCCCGGTACCGGATCCTCCCCGGTGCCGCCCCGGTCCCGCCATCCCCCCGCCTGTCCCGGGCCCGGGCCCTCCCCGGTGCCCCCCGGTGCTCCCCGTGTTGTCCCCCGGGGCCGCTCAGCCCCCGGGGCCGGTCCCGGTGCTGGTCCCGGTTCCGGTGCCGGTGTCGGTGACGGTCCCGGTCCCGGTGCAGGATGGGGACCCTGGTGCTGGAGCTGTACTGGCGCCACGCACCGCGCACCTGCAAGAACTTCGCCGAGCTGTGCCGCCGGGGGTACTACAACGGCACCCGCTTCCACCGCGTCATCAGGGACTTCATGGTGCAGGGCGGGGACCCCACCGGCACCGGTAAGCACGGCCCGGAGCCCCCCAGCCGCGGGACGGGGACACTGGGACCACCCCGGGGCCGTGCTGGGGACAGCCCCCGGCCCTGTTACAGGGACACCCGGAGCCCCCAGCTGTGGGATGGGGACACGGGGACCCTCCCCAAGCCCAGTGGGACACCAGAGACCCCCCCCCAGCCTCATGGTGGGGACACGAGGGATCCCGCAGCCCTATGACACGAGGGGACACTGATGCCCCCCAGCCCCATGACAGGGACACTGGGACCCCTCCAGCTCCCCAGTGGGACACCAGAGATACCCCCCAACCTCATGGTGGGAATACTGGGACCCCCACCAGCCCCATGAGGGGACACTGCCCCCCCCCGGCCCCATGATGGGGACACCAAGACCCCCCCCAAACCTATGACTGGGACACAAATCCCCCCCCAGCCCCATGGTGGGGACACTGGGACCCCCCCATCCACATCAGGGGACACTGACCTCCCTCCAGCCCCGTGATGGGGACACTGAGACCCCCCCCAGCCCCATGATGGGGACACCGGGACCCCTGTGCCTGGAGGGGGGGGGCTCTGACCACCATGCCCGCAGGCCGCGGCGGCGCCTCCATCTACGGCAAGCAGTTTGAGGACGAGCTGCACCCAGAGCTGAAATTCACCGGTGAGCGCTCCCCCAACCCCGCTTTCACCAAACCCACCCCAAAAAAAAAAAAATAGGAAAAAAAAATAATAATATTTTTTTCCCGCTTTTCGGGGTGCGTCCCGCAGGCGCCGGCATCCTGGCCATGGCCAATGCGGGGCCGGACACCAACGGCAGCCAGTTCTTCCTGACGCTGGCGCCCGCGCAGTGGCTGGACGGCAAGCACACCATCTTCGGCCGCGTCTGCCAGGGCATCGGCGTCCTCAACCGCGTGGGCATGGTGGAGACGAGCGCCCAGGACCGGCCCCTGGACGACGTCAAGGTGCTGCGCGCCGTGCCCGCGGGGTGACGCGGGCAATAAAGGCGTGGAACGGCCCCGGAGTGCGGCACTGACACGGGGCTGGTGGCGGGGGGGACAGCACTATGGGGACGGGGGGGTCGCCGGTAGGATGTGGGGCTGGCACCCCTGGGGGGACACCCATGGGGTGTGGAGGTGTCACCCTTGGGGGGCACTGATGTCATCTGGGAGGGTGGCACCCACAGGACACGGAGGTGGCACCCCGGGGGATGCTGATGGGGGGGTGAGCTGCGGGACGCCCATGGGGGGCACTGATTGCGGGGGGCACCCATGGGGTGTGAGCCACCCTTGGGGAATGCTGATGTCATCCGGGGGGAGTTGTCACCCATGGGGGACTCTGATGTCATCGGGGGGGTGGCACCGTGGGGGACACTAATGGGGGGGTCACCTACAGGACACCCATGGGGGACACCAATTGGAGGGGGTCACCCATGGGGTGTGGAGGTGTCACCCTTGGGGGACACTGATGTCATCTGGGAGGGTGTCACCTACAGGACATGGGGCTGGCACCCATGGGGGGGACACTGTTGTCATCTGGGGGAGTGTCACCCACAGGACACAAAGGTGTCACCCGTGGGGGAGTCTGATGTCATCTGGGGGGTGTCACCTACCGGACATGGAGCTGGCACCCGGGGGCACACTGATATGGGGGGGTTACTCATGGGGGGGGGAGTCACATGTGGGGGGACACTGATGTCATCTGGGGGTGTCACCTGCAGGACATGGAGGTGTCACACATGGGGGGACACTGATGACGGGGGGGTCACCCACAGGGTGTGGAGGTGCCACCTGTGGGTGCGGAGATGTCACCCATAAGGGGACACAGATATCACACATGGGGACGTGGAGGTGCCGCCTGAGGGCACAGGTGTCACCCATGTGCGTGGAGGTGTCACCCACGGGCACAGAGATGTCACCCATAAGGACACGAGGATGTCACCCATGGGTCCAGTACAGCTGACCGGTGCGCCCAGTACACCCCCACCATGGGGACAGGGGCGACACTCTGAGCACCGCAGGGCACTGGAGCACAGGGGAACTGGGCACACTGGGAGGCACTGGGAGGCAGCAGGACATGGGGGGACACTGGGGACATAGGGACACCGGGGGACACTGGGCCTGCAGGTGGTGGGACTGGGGGGCACTGGGAGCAGCACTGGGCCATACTGGGGATGCAGTAGAGTGGCACTGGGAGATAGTGGGGACACAGTGAGGCAGCACTGGGAGGTTCTGTGTGCATGGCACTGGGAGCACTGGGCTGTACTGGGGACACAGCAGGACCGATCCCTGGGAGCACTGGGAGATACTGGGGGCACAGCAGGGTACCACATGGAGCACTGGGCCATACTGGGCACAGAGTGGGGTTGCACTGAGAGATACTGGGGGTGCAGCAGAGCAGCACTGGGAGCACTGGGCCATACTGGGAATGCAGGATTGTGGGACTGGGAGCACTGAGGGATACTGGGGGCACAGCGGAGTACCACTGCGAGCAATGGAATGCACTGGGGACACAGTGGGGCGTTACTGGGAGATACTGGAGGCACAACAGAGTAGCACTGGGAGCGCTGGACCATACTGGGAGCATAGCGGGGCACCACTGGGAGCACTGGGGGCACAGTGGGGTGGCACTGGGAGATACTGGGGGTGCAGCAGCGCGGCACTGGAAGCACTGGGAGACACTGGAAGCACAGTGGGGCACCACTGGGAGCACTGGGGGCACAGTGGGGTGGCACTGGGGGGTACCAGGGGCGCAGCAGAGCGGCACTGGGAGCACTGGGCCATACTGGGAGCACAGCGGGGGGGGGCACCGGGAGCCCCGCGCGATGCCGGGGGCGGCGCGGGGGCCGTACCGGGGGCCGTACCGGGGCCGTACCGGGGCGGTCTCGCAGGAGGCTCCGGGGGCAGCCCCGGGGGCGGCGGCGCTGCGGCAGCGCGCGGTACCGGGAGCCCCGAGCCGCACCGGGGCAGCCCCGGGAGCAGCGCGGCGGCGGCGGCGGCGGCCCCGGGCGGGGCGGAGCCGGGGCATGGCGGGCCTGGGAGCGCTGGAACCGGGCACCGGCACCGGCACCGTCCCGGCCACCAAGGTGGAGCTCACCGTGTCCTGCAGGTGGGGGAGCGGCACCGGGCGCGGGGCACCGGGGGGAGCGGGAGGCGGTTGGTGCTGTGCGGCGCTGGGATGCGCTGGGAGGCACTGGGAGGCACTGGGAGGCACTGGGGAGCGGGGGGGTCAGGGGGTGAACGGTACCGGGGGGACCTGGGGGCGAGGGGGGGAATGGGAGAGCCGGGGAGGATGCGGGAGGGGGGCACTGGGAGTACTGGGAGGCACTGGGGAGCCGGGGGGAGCACAGCGGGTGTACAGCGCTGGGGGAACCCGGTGGTTGTGGGGGTACTGGGAGGCACTGGGGGGCACTGGGAGAGCAGATGGCGCTGGGAAGCGCAGGGCACAGTGGGAGGCACAGGGGAGTTATTGGGGGGTACTGGGGGGCACTGGGAGAGCAGAGATGGCTGGGAAGCACAGGGCACTGGGGAGCACTGGGAAGCACTGGGGGGCACTGGGAGAGCAGATGGTGCTGGGAAGCACAGGGCACGGCCGGAGGCACTGGGAGGCACGGGGGTGTTATTGGGAGACGGGGGGGGGGTACTGGGAGGCACTGGGGGCACTGGGAGGCAAAGGGGTGCGGGGCACTGGGAGAACTGGAGGGGCAGGGAGTGGGGGCTCTGGGGGTGTGCGGGGGGGGGGGCCGTTCCACCCCGTCCCCCTGAGCCTCCTCCTCTCCATCCTGCCCCCCTCTGGGGGGGGGGCTCCCCGCACAGCCCCCCCCCGTGTCCCCCCCGTGCCCGGTGCCCGCTGGGGCTCGCTGCCACCTGTCACCCATCGCCTCGCACCCTGGGACACCCGGGCCCCCCCGCGCTGGCACTGTGCTCGCTGCCCGGGGGGGGCCTCACCACCCCCCTCCCCACCTCAGATCCCCCCCAGCCCCCAGCCCTGAGCGAGGGCTGAGCCCCGCTGCGTTTGGGACCCCCTGGGGACCCCCGCACCCCTTCATGAAGGCTGGGGGCATGGGGTTGGGGTGCCCAGGGGGGGGGTTCCCGGTGCGGTGCTGGGTGCCCCCCCCCCGGCCGTGCTGCCCGCGGCCGCTCCGACCTATTTTCCTCCCACTCCATCGGGGACTGGAGCAACTCCCCGAGCCGCTGCTCCGTGCCGCAGCTCGGGGGTGCGCGCCCCGGCACGGGGGGGTGCGCCCCGACACACGGACACCCCCAGCCCCCCCCATGCTGCAGTTCCCCAGCGGCCCGGCCTCTCCCCGCAGGCAGCTGCTGGACAAGGACACCTTCTCCAAGTCCGACCCGCGTGAGTGGGGCTGGGGCCGGGGGGCCCGGGGGGTCCCGGGGGGATCCCGGGGGGTCCCAGGGGCCGGGGCCTTGCTGAGCGCGGCCGCCTCTGCCCCCAGTCTGCGTCCTCTACACCCAGGGCCTGGACACCAAGCAGTGGCGGGAGGTGAGAGCCCGGCCCTGCCCTGCTGGGCAGCCAATCAGCATGTTGGGGTGCTGCTGAATCAACCAATCAGCATGTTGGGGTGCTGCCCAGTTGGCCAATCAGCATGTTGGGGTGCTGCTGAATCAACCAATCGGCATGTTGGGGTGCTGCCCAGTTGGCCAATCAGCATGTCGGGGTGCTGCTGAATCAACCAATCGGCATGTTGGGGTGCTGCCAAACTGGCCAGTCAGCATGTTGGGGTGCTACTGAACCAGCCAATCAGCATGTCAGGGTGCTGCCAGACCAACCAATTGGCATGTTGGGGTGTTGCACAGCTGGCCAATCAACATGTTGGGGTGCCAGCCAATCAGCATGTTGGGGTGCTTCTGAACCAACCAATCAGCATGTTGGGGTGTCAGCCAATCAGCATGTTAGGGTGCTGCTGAACCAACCAATCAGCATGTTGGGGTACCAGCCAATCAGCATGCTGGGGTGCTGCCCAACCAACCAATCCGCATGTCAGGGTGTCAGCTCACTGGTCAATCAGGATGTTGGGGTGCCGGGCAGGCGGCCAATCAGCATGTTGGGGCGCTGGGCAGGCAGCCAATCAGCATGTTGGGGTGCCTGGCAGGCAGCCAATCAGGACATTGGGGTGCCGGGCAGGCGGCCAAGCAGCGCTGCCAGCCCCGGGGGGGGGGGGGGGGGGAGCTCCACAGCCCCTGCTCCCGCCCCGCCGCCTGCCCTGTAATTAGCGCCTGGTTAATTGAGGGGCTCCGGGCCGTAATGAGCGGGTGGGCCGGGCGGCGCAGCCCCGCGCTGCCGCACAAAGGGGCACCTGGGCCCCCCCCCCGGCCCCCCCGGCCCCACGGCCCCGGCGCTGCCCCCAGTTCGGCCGCACCGAGGTCATCGACAACTCCCTGAACCCCGACTTCGTGCGCAAGTTCGTGCTGGACTACTTCTTCGAGGAGAAGCAGAACCTGCGCTTCGACCTGTGAGTGCCGCGGCCCCCGGCACCGTGCCGTGCTGCCACCCAGCCCCGGCCCCATCCCATCCCCGTCCCCCTGCCACGCTCCGTCCATCCCACAGGTACGATGTGGACTCCAAAAGCCCCGACCTGTCCAAGCACGTGAGTGTGGTACCAGCCCCGTGGGGCTGCGGGGTACAGGGACAGGGACAATGGGATGGGATGGGATGGGGATGGGGACAGTGCTGGGGACACCGCGCTGACCCCACACTCCCTCAGGACTTCCTGGGCCAGGCCTTCTGCACCCTCGGTGAGATCGTGGGCTCGGCCGGCAGCCGCCTGGAGAAGCCGCTGACGTGAGCAGGGCTGGGGGGTGCAGGGGGGGGTGTGGGGGGGGTTGGAGCGGGCTGGGTGCCCGGCGTCCCGCGGGTGACAGTGACGGTGGTGGCGCCCGGGTCCTTATCTTGCGCCCCGGCGGTGTCTGGGATGGAGAGCAGAGCCCGGTGCAGATAGCGCGGCTCCGGGCTGCTCCCCCCCAGGATGAGTGTCCCCCCCCCCTGCTCCCAGCCCTGCCTCAGTTTCCCCGTGGGGTCTGGCTGGGGGCGATGTCCCCCCCCCTCCGTCACCCCGCTGCGTGTCCCCGCAGGATGGGGACGGTCACAGCACAATCCCGCGGCAAGAAGCCGGCTCCGGCCCTCTCCAACGGGTGAGCATTGGGGTGCCCCCCCCCGGCTCCCCAGACACACGGGTCACTGCGCCCCCCACCATAAGGGACACCCGTGTCACCGTGTGCCCCCCTCACCACCGGTCCCACAGGGGCATCCCTGGGAAGAAGTGCGGCACCATCATCCTCCTCGCCGAGGAGCTGGGCAACTGCAGGGTGAGCGGCCCCAGGGGTGGGGGGGGCAGTTTGGGGACCCCCCTCTTGTGCCACTTGGGTGAGTGGGGGGGGGGAAGAGCCCCACGTCCATGCCTGGGGCCTTCCTCCACTCTGCTGTGGGGTGAAGACGGGGGCCGGAGCCCCCCCCCCCCCCACCCTGGCTGCTCCCGTTGGGACCCTGAGGTCCGTGGGGGGGGGTTCCGTGGCGGTGACACCCCCTCGCCCCAGGACGTGGCCACGCTGCAGTTCTGCGCCAACAAGCTGGACAAGAAGGATTTCTTCGGCAAGTCCGACCCCTTCATGGTCTTCTACCGGAGCAATGAGGACGGGACGTGAGCAGCCCCAAAACGCGGCCATTGGGGTTGGGGGGTGGGGGGGGACACACAACAGGACGTGGCCCTGCTGCCACCTGGGGGGGGCGGTCACAGCCCTGAGGCTGGCACAGGACCCCCCGTGCGTCCCAGTGGGGTGGGGGTGGCGCTGGGAGAGGGTCTCCAAGAGCCACCCCTGGGTGCTGGGTGGGGGGTCAGCCACTGGGGGGTGACCACCCTGTGTCCCCCCCACCCCATCCCCGCAGCTTCACCATCTGCCACAAGACCGAGGTGGTGAGGAACACGCTGAACCCGGTCTGGCCGGCCTTCGCCATCCCCGTGCGCGCCCTCTGCAACGGCGACTACGACCGGTGAGCACCGGGGGCCGCGGCACCACAGGGCCGCCCTGTGCCTGACCCCCCCCCTCCTCCTCCCGCCTCGGGCTCCCCGTCTGAGCAATGGGTCCGCGCCCCCGTCACGGCCCCCCCCCCAACTCAGCCCCGGTGCCGGCTCCCGGTGAGCGGTGGCTCGGCGTCGCGCTGCCGCCGCCGGCTTGGCCCCGTGTCGGACGTTGCTGTGGCAACGGCGGATAAAAATATCCCACCGAAAACGGCCGAGGAGGAGGAGGAGGAGGAGGAGGAGGAAGGAGAAAAGGCCCACGGAGGCGTCAAAACAAACTCGCCGGGAGCGGGCGCTGGGGGTGCCCCTGCTGTGCCCGCTGACACCCCCGGCACGGGGCAGGGCGAGCGCGGGGCCAGTCTGCAGCTGCCACCCGCGACCCCCCCGCTCCTTGCAGGGCCATCAAGGTGGAGGTGTACGACTGGGACCGTGACGGCAGGTGAGCCGGGGGGGGGCCCCGGGGTCACCCACCACGTCCCCGCGCCCCGGGTGACGGTGCCCCCCCCATGCCCCGCAGCCACGACTTCATCGGCGAGTTCACCACCAGCTACCGGGAGCTGGCGCGGGGGCAGAGCCAGTTCAACGTCTACGAGGTGAGGAGGGGGACGGGGCGCGGGGATGGGTGCTGTGGCACCGGGGTGCCCCCACTGCACCCTGGTGCCGCGGCTCCTGGTCGATTTGGGGCCGGCCCCCCCCCAGCCCAGCAGTGCCCCCCCGGCCTCCCCTCTCCCAGGTGGTGAACCCGCGGAAGAAGATGAAGAAGAAGAAGTACCTGAACTCGGGGACGGTGAGGGCCGGGCGGGGGGGCGCGGGGGTGCTGCCACCATCCTGCTCAGCCCGCTGTCCCTGGCAGGTGACGCTGCTGTCCTTCGCCGTGGAGTCCGACCACACCTTCCTGGACTACATCAGGGGCGGGTGAGCCTCAGCAGCCCCCCCATGAAATGGGCCCAGCATCCCCAGAACCCAGTGGGGTGCCCAGAGCGGGTCCCTCATGAAACCCCGGTGCTGAGAGAGGGTGCTCTGAACAGGGTGGGGGCACGGCCGGTCCTTGGGCCCCCCCCAGCTCCTCAGAGCCGCTTTCCCCTCCCCAGGACCCAAATCAACTTCACGGTGGCCATCGACTTCACCGCGTCCAACGGTGAGCGGAGCCGCTGGCTACAGCCCGGGGGCTCGTTACGGTGCCACGTTTGGGCCGGGGGGGCACAGGACAGGGGCTGACCCCCCCCCGGCGCAGGCAACCCCTCGCAGTCCACCTCGCTGCACTACCTGAGCCCCTACCAGCTCAACGCCTACACCATGGCGCTCAAGGCCGTGGGCGAGATCATCCAGGACTATGACAGTGACAAGATGTTCCCGGCGCTCGGCTTCGGCGCCAAGATCCCTCCGGACGGGCGCGTGTCCCACGAGTTCCCGCTGGTGAGGCTGAGCCCCGGGGTGCCGCGGGGGGTTGGGGGGGGAGGCGGCGGCGGCCCCGTCACCCGGCGCCGTGCCCGCAGAACGGCGACGCCGCCAACCCCTCGTGCAGCGGCATCGAGGGCATCCTGGAGGCCTATCACCGGAGCCTGCGCAGCGTCCAGCTCTACGGCCCCACCAACTTCGCCCCCGTGGTCAACCATGTGGCCCGGTAAGGAGGGGGGCGTTGCTGCCCCGAGTCCCCCCCCCAGTTGTGCCCGGGGGTTGTGCCCGGCCCCCCGTGCCCCGTGCTCACCGGCTGTCCCGCAGCTCGGCCGCGGCGGTGCCCGACGGCTCCCAGTACTTCGTGCTCCTCATCATCACCGACGGCGTCATCTCGGACATGGCGCAGACCAAGGAGGCCATCGTCAACGTGAGTGCTGCGCCGCGGGGCTGGGTGGGGGGTGCCTGGCTGAGTGCATGGGGAGCCCCAAAACGCTGGGGAGCAGTGTGTGGCTGGGTGCCCCAAAGCATTAGGGTGCAGCACGAGGCTGGGTGCTCGGGCTCGCTGCAAGGTGCAATGACCTACAGGGGACACGGGGAGTCCCAAGGCACCAGGGTGCGCTCCCCCCAGGGGACACCCCGGGGTGTTGGGGTGCAGTCATCGTCCGGGCGCAGGGGGTGCTCTGAGCTGGGGTGCTCCAACCAGGCAGATGCTGGGGGTTCGGGGGGGCAGGATGCTGGTGCACAAGAAGGGGCAGGGGGGGAACGTGCAATAACCTAATAAATGAACTTTTTCTGTCCTCTGCCCCCCCCCTGCCACGCACCAGGCAGGAGGATTGGGTCCACGCTTCCCAGCAATTCGGCTGCTGGCCAGAGCAGGAGGGCGAGAAGCTTTTGTGCTTCTTGCTTGCTGCTTTTTAATATTTCGTGGCAGAGCTGCAGTGCGGGGGTGGTGGGGGCAGCTCAGTGCCGTCACCTGCACTGGGGCGTGTTGTGGGCCCTTGGCCCCTGCCCTCCAGCTGCCAGCACCGTGCCGGCCAGGCTGGGGGACGTGGCACTGGGCTGGCAGCAGGCACAGGGGGCTCACAGGGCTCCGGCTGCCGTGGTTGTGCTGAGTTTGGGGCTGGAGGCTGGGGGTCCCGGGAGGATGAGGGGCTCCTGTCTGTGTTTTGGTTGTTTGGGGGGGGGCAGTGCAGGGATGTGCACGGGGCCCGAGGCAGGATGCAGGGCGCAGGGGCGAGCACTGGATGCGCTCCGTGCCTCCGAGGTGGGATGCAGAGCGCGGCACCCCCGCGGGATGCGCGTCACAGCACCCACAGGGGCTGCACAGAACAGCTCCCCCGCGGGATGCACAGAACGGCACCCACGCGGGCTGCACGTCACTGCAACCACGCGGGAGGCACAGCACGGCACCCACGCGGGATGCACACCGCAGACCCGGGGCAGGCTGCACAGCACGGCACCCACACGGGGGGCACGGCACGGCACCCACACGGCACCCACACGGCACCCACAGCGCAGCACCGGGGCGCGATGCGTGGTGCCGGGTGCGGGATGCCCGTGGTGGCACCGGGCGCAGGTGTTGGCAGTGCCGGGAGCAGCGGGCACACAAAGCGCCGCGAGCTGCCGCGCTCCCACGCCGAGCAGCAGCAGCACTCGGTGCCTGGGGGGGGGGGACACAGACACATGATGGGGAGCGATGTGGGGGCCCCACGGGTGTCACACGCCACTGCCTGCTGCCACCCCCACGGTCACTGCGGGCAAACACCCGGCACCCTGGGGACCGCGGGGTGCTGCTAGTGACATGGGGGGGGCGCAGCAGCGCGCAATAAATCTTGTGCCTTTCCCCCCCACACTCCGGGCCCGGCAGGCTGCCAAGCTCCCGATGTCCATCATCATCGTGGGGGTCGGACAGGCCGAGTTTGATGGTAAGGCTGTGCTGCGGGGCCTGCGGGGGGGGGGTGCTGAACAGGGGGGGGCTGCAGCTGCCTCTGGCCACGGGGGAAATCCGAGTTTAATTTTCTCCGGCTCAGCGTGGCGCGCCGCAGCCCACAGCCGGTGATTATGAGCTGCGGCGCTCGTTATGGCTGGGTTCGCCTCCCTCGGGGGGGGGGGTGGGGGGGGTGGAGGGGGGGCACGCCAAAAAGCTCAATTAAAGCTCTCCGAGGAGATGATGCTGACGAACCGGCCCTGCCTGTGTGCGGTGTCAGCAGGCAACTGCCCCAGTGCCGCTGGGGTGGTGGTGGTGGGGGGGGTCCAGTGCTGCTCACCCCCCCCCCGCCCCCCCCGTGTGTCCCCTGCAGCCATGGTGGAGCTGGACGGGGACGACATCCGCATCTCCTCCCGCGGGAAGGTGGCCGAGCGCGACATCGTGCAGGTAGCCCGGCACGGCATGGCACAGCGCGACCCCCCCCCAGCGTCCCCCACCAGGCCCTGCTCTCCTGGGGGCCACTGGCCGGTCCCAGTATGGGGGGGGGGTTATGGGGTGATGGGTGCATGGGGACGGGAGGGGTGCCGTGGGACATGGGGGTGGCACTTGGGCTTGGGGGGGGCACAGCAGGATGCGGGGTGGGATTTGGGGATGTGCTGGGGCATGAGGGCGAGGCAGAGGATGGGGAGCTGGGGGGGGGGGGGACGCTGGGACATGGGGACGTGCGGGGGACACTGTGGGACACCGCGGTGCCCCGGGACATGGGGGCACACGGGGGTGCTGGGCAGGTAGGGATGCAATGGGCTATGGGGGTGCTCCAGGGCCTGGGGGGTGCCATGGGGCCGTGCCCGATGCCCTCCCCCCTTTTCCCCCCCCCCCCCCAGTTTGTTCCTTTCCGTGACTACATCGACCGCACGGGGAACCAGGTGCTGAGCATGGCGCGCCTGGCCAAGGACGTGCTGGCCGAGATCCCCGACCAGTTCATCTCCTACATGAAGGCGCGTGGCATCAAGCCCCAGCCCGCGCCCCCCAGCCCCGACCCCCCCGGCCCCCCGCCGCCCCCCCCCCAGCCCTGACGGCTCCCGGCCCCGCTGTGTCCCCCAGGACCCCGCTCCAGCCGTGGTGATGGGTGGGGACCTGGGGACGTGGCCGGAGCCCCCCCCATCCTCAGCTGAGGGATAAATCACTGCCAGGCACCCCCAGCCCCTCCCTGCCCCACAGAAACTGGATTTGGGGGGGGGATTGGCCACATCCTGCACCCCCTCCTCCCCTACCAGGACCCTGACCCCTTGTACCTATGGGGGGGGGAAATGAGGATCCCCCCACTGCCCACAGGGAGCCCCTGGGGCACCCCCTGTGCCCCCCCCCCCCATGCCCAGAGCCCACCTGTGTCACCCCCCCCGACCCCAGGTCACCCACCCTTTGTCCCTGTAGTGAGGGTTGGGGGGTCCCTACATTTCCCCCCCCCCCATCATTTTTCTACGTGCATGGACGTGTTGTGTGCCTGTGCGCTGGGTCGTGGTGCGTTGCCTTAAACTGCAATAAATTTCGGTCTTTTTAATCCGCTGACAGCAGCCCCCACCCCTGCCAGCAAGAGCTGCCCCCCCCCCGTGCCTCCCCCCCCCCCCCAAGAGAGATCAGGTCACACACGGTCCTTTTTGGCTTTATTTCTAATAACCCAAATATTGCAAATATACAGAAAAATGCCAGTACAAAGTTATTACACATCCAGGTTTATTTACAGGGCTCTACACAGGCCTCGCCCCCCCCCCGTCCCCCCAACCCCTCCCTGCGGCCAGGGGCTGGGGGGGGTGGGGGGGGCTATGGCTTCTCGGGGGGAGCACACGCTGCCCCCGTCGCGGCGCTGCTGAAGCACATGCAAGCGGCGTGGCTGCGCCCCCCCACCCTGCACCCCGGCCGGGGGGGGGCACGGAGAGCCCCAGGACCCCCGGGGGGGCATTTCCAGTGTAAGGAGACTGTGACAGTGCTGGGACCAAAACCTGGCGGGGTAAAAGCTGGGGGGGGGGAGCAAGGACCGAGCCCCCCCTCGGCCCCTTGTTAAAAGAGCTTCAAGCCTGAATTCATTATTGCTGCGTTTCCCTCGGCCAAGGGCAGCCTGGGGGGGGGCCAGGCTGGGATGTGTCCCCCCCCCCGGCAGTGGGGGCAGCCCGGGGGTATTGCTTTGGAGAAGGGGGGGCAGCCCCTGGCCCCCAGCTCCCTGCCCGTGCCCTCCTGCACTGCTGCACGGTGCAGCCTGAGGGGCCCGACAGCGGCTGGGGGGGGCTGCTCGGGGGGGGCACACCCCCAGGGGGTGCTGGCTGTAAGGGGGGCTGGGAGGGGGCTGGGGGGGCTGCAGGTGGAGGACCCCCAGGTCGGGGGCCTTGAAGAAGCTAATGGAAAAAGAGAGGGAAAAGGGAAAAAAAAAAAAGAACCAAAAAAGCGCCAAGAAACCAAAACCACAAAAGCAAAACAAAAATAAAACAAAACAAAACAAAACCAAAAAAAGACTCCCCACCAGCCAGAAAGAAACCTTAAAGCAGCATTAACTCAACCCCCCCGTGTGTCCCCCAGCAGCGAAGCCCCCCAGGCCCTGCCCGCCGGGGGGGGGCAGCTCGGCACCATCCCCGTCCCCGCCGCTACTCCAGCAGGTCCTGGGGGAGAAGGGCAGCGTCAGCCACGGACACCCCAATGGGAGGGGGGTCTTTGGGGGGAGGGGGGGGGCACTCACCTCATCCGAGTCGTCATGGTACCCTCCCTTGCGGGGGGGCGAGCTGGGGTCCGTCCCCTCCGTCCCCTCTGCACCACTGGCCTCGGCGTGCTGCCGCAGCACGGAGTAGCGATGGACCAGGAACCTGGGGGGGGGCACAGCACGGGGGGGCTGGGGGCAGCGCGTGGCCCCCCCCAGGGATGGGAACACCCCCCTCAGGCATCGGGGTGGGGGGCAGCAGCAGCAAGAAGTGCCCCAGAGCACGAAGGGGACCTCCCCATCACCCCCCGTAGGTGGGGACCCTGTCCCCGAGGGTGCCCCGCGGGCCGGGGGGGGGCTCACCTGCCCCCACAGACGTATTTCTTGATGAGCAGCACCCCGGTGACTGCGGTGATGAGCAGCACGGCCACCACGGCCAGGACAATGGGCACGGAGCTGGGGGACGCCGCCTGCGGGGGGCAAGGACGGGGCTGGGTGGGGGGCACCAGGCCGGTGGCACCCATGGGTGGGGGCAGCCACGTCCGTGTCACCCACCAGCTGGCTGGGGCTCAGCAGGGTGCTGGTGCACTTCTTCTTCATGTCCGTCTCCTCCCGGCTGGGGCTCTCCCCCCCTGCGCACTTGTCCCCAGGGATCTTGCGGTACCTGGGGGGGGCGACGCAGGATGAGCCCCGGGGACCCCCCCTGCGCCTCGCGGCTGCTCTGGGGTCAGGGTTGGGGAAGGGGCCGGGGCTGGGGCCGTACCCGCTGGTCCGCAGCAGCTCGCGGCGGCCGTAGAGGCAGAACTCCAGGTCGTGGCCCTTCAGCTCCGGCTGCTCCACGCACACGGACTGGTTCTCGGGGCGGTAATACCCGAAATCGCTGCGGGCAGGGGGGAGCACAGCTCAGCGTCCCCCCGGCACTGCTGGCACCAGGCGGGCGGCACCGGGGCGCAGAGGGGCAGGGAGGGGGCGCGACGCGGGGCCGGGGGCTACCAGAGGAAATCCTGCAGGGTGCAGGGGCAGACGGACGGCTGCGTGGTGACAGCGTAGTCGCGGCCGTTCTGGCACACCGAGGACTTGCGCAGGCGCCGGTACTGCTCCTTGTAGCCCAGTATGCAGCCGTCACTGGGGTCGCTGGGATCGCTGGAGTGCGCCAGCCAGATGGTGTAGTCCTTGTCCTCGCCTGCCAGGAATAGGGCTCAGCACCCGTGGGTGGCACCGCTGCCACCACCCCAGGGCCCGCGGGTGTCCCCGTCCCCCCGGCACTCACAGCTCCGGCTCAGCAGCTGGCTGAAGTCGATGGTGTAGGAGACCCACTTGCGGGACAAGAAGTTCCCCCGAAAGCCCCAGATGCTGACGTTCATGGAGCGGGCGCCGGGCTCGGATGCCAGCCCGGTGAAGAAAATGGGGTCCTTGGAGAAGGTGTACTTGTACCAGCACTGCCCCTCGTCCGTGGAGAACCTGGCACGCAGGGGACGCTTGGGGACCGGAGCCACCGCGGGGTGACCCACAGCCACCGCCACCTCACACCACCGGGACCCACAGCAGTGCCCAAACGTGGGCCACCGCCCGCCCTGGCGGTGCTCCCCCAGCCCCCCGCGCCCCCGCAGCACTCACTCGATGACGTTGACGGGCTGGCTGGTGTGCTCGATGGCCACGATGAGGCCGCCCGAGTCAAGGATGGCGTAGTGGTGGGGGCCCTCCAGCATCCGCGCCCACGTGTAGCCCCCGTCGTCCGAGATGTAGACGTCGGGGCTCATCACGGAGATGGCCCCCCCCACGCTCCCTGCCAGACAGGGGCAGCGTGAGCGGGGTGTGGGGACCCTCAGCTGCCCACCCCCGTCCCCACCGGGTACCGTGGGCGATGATGATGCCGACGGCGTTGGGCTCGGACAGCGGCACCATGGGCACGTTCAGCTTCTGGGAGATGCTGTAGGACGCGTGGATGTGGAGGCTGCACTGCAAGCGCAAGCACCGAGCCCGTCCAGGAGCTGCCAGGACGGCTCCTTCGCCTCGGGCAGCACCGGGACCCCTCCCACCTGCTGGGGGATGCCCAGCACCCCCCCATGGTGCAACCCCACCCCCTGGGCAGGGGCTGCAGGATCGGTCCCTGCCCTCCCGCATCCTCATGCCCCCAAGCCCCCCAGCACCGCGCGTGGCCACCAGCCCTGCCCAGGGCAGAGCCCCCGCTCACAGCAGGGGTTTATGGCCGAAGCCCACCCACAGGGGACGGACACGGAGCCCGGGCACCGTGTGGGCACCAGCCCCTAGCTGGGGACAAGGGACAGAGCCACCTCCTCCTTGTTCCTCGCCGTGGAGTCGCAGGTGGTGTTTTTCGGCTTCCTCAGCGGCACCCACTCCCCGCCACGGTCAAAAGTGATCACGGACTGGATGGAGTTGTCTGGTGGGAGCAGAGGGAGATGGCAGGGCTGGGGGGACACCGAGCACGTCCCCACAGAGCCACCGCCAGCCCCCACGTCCCCCGCGCCTCCACCCCAGGGGGGTGTCACTGCCACATCCTCACCTTCGGAGAGGACGCTGGTGATGTAGATGCCCCGCAGCGAGGTGACGTTGGTGAAGTCGGTCTCCCCGCCAGTGGTGGTGTAGAGGTGCCGCTCCAGGGATTTGGAGTACACCACGCCCCGGTCGTCGGAGGTGTAGATGGTGCCGTAACCCGTGTCTGGGGAGGGAACAGGGCAGAGGTAACGGGGGCTCCGCGGGCACTGACCCAGCTCCATGCAGGAAGAGGAACCAAGGGCAAGGAGTAACTCCCGTGCCCCAGAGCGTGGCCACGCTCCCCGCACACCGCAAAGAGGAACAAGGTTTCTTGCACCCGCTGCCTGCTAATTAGCAACGTCTTAATGAGAAATTCCTTCCTCAAAGGCACAGCCCTGCCCAGGCCGGCCAGCAGAGCTGGAGAGCCCCACACTTCGGAGCGGAGCCGGCTTTTAGTTCACGTTGCTGCTGCTGGGATGTCCCCAGCCATCCGCAGGTGGTCCCAGCTCTGTCCCCGTCCCTGTCCCCGCTCACCGCCCGGCTCATCCACGTGCATGAAGACCAGGTCGTCGTTGGCGGCCAGGATGGAGTAGAACTGCTCGTGGCCCACCGAGGGCAGCTGCGCCATGCTCCAGGTCTCGCCCTGGTCCAGCGAGACGTGAATGCGCCTCGTGGTGCCCTGTGGAGCCAAAGCACCCTCAGCCCTGCTCCCCTCGCGTGGCAGCAGGGACAAAGGGGGCGTGGAGGAGCTGCTGGTGCCCACGGGCCACTGGTGCCCCAGGATGGGGGGGGGGTGGGACAGCCACCTTCTCTGTCATGACGGAGGCGAAAAGGAAGCGGCCGCCCAGCCCGAAGGAGTAGATCTTGGTGCCGATGACCTTGAAGGTTTTGCCGAAGTCGGAGGTTTTCTTCAGCTCCAGTAACCCAAGATCAGCTTCTTAAGAAGAAGGGACAGGGGGTTAATGCTGCTGGGGCCCAGCAGCCCCCCAGGGGCTCCGTCACCCGTCCCCGCAGCTGCCCCCGCGTCCCCGCAGCGCCCCAGCTGGGAGCGGGCAGTACTCACTGCAGGAGTTGTTCAGGTAGGTGGTGAAGAAGATGGTGTTGTCCGCGCCCCTGGGAAGAGACGGGGATGAGAGCGCTGGCGGGACGCAGCGCACGGGGGTGTCACAGCGCACGGGGGTGCCGCTGCGTTTCCCGGCGCTGAGGGGTGCCGAGCGGCCGCTCACCACTTGGCCAGGCAGACGGCTTTGTGGATCTGCTCCCACTTCTCCCCGAAGTCCTTGGAGACCCAGAGGCCGTTCTGCAAGAGACGCCCGAAGCTCAGCACCAGCCCCGGCACCCGGCACCAGCCCCGTGTGGACTCCGGTCCTTACGTCGGTGCTGAGGGCCAGCAGGCAGTCGGAGTTGTGCGGGTGGTAGGAGATCTGCACCAGCGGGTGGAAGGGCAGCTCCGTCTGCACGAAGTTCTTGGCGAAGTCGGACGAGCGGAAGATGCGGCCGCCATGGCTGCCGCCGGACACGTCGCCCGTCAGGATGACCTGGGGGGCACAAGGGAGGCTCAGCCCCAGGCCTGGGGACGCTCACCAGGAACGCCACTGAGAGCCTCCGCGGCCAGGGCACGGGGCTGCCGGGGGGCCCGCCTTGCCGCCCCCTCCGCTCACCTTCCCCGAATTGTCGGGTCCGATGGCCATGCCGAACTCGGTGCGGATGAAGGTGTTGTTGATGAGGTGGGTGATGTCCTTGAAGGTCTTCCCATAGTCCTCGCTGCAACGGGGAGCGCGGCCGCGCCGTGAGCACCGCCAGGAGCCCTCGGGTAGGGGGGTCACCGTGCCGCCGCGTGCGGCAACCCCAAAATATCTGGGGAGGGGTTTGGGGGGGGGCTCACCTGCGGTAGAGCTTGGACTGGCCAAAGCTCATGATCACCAAGGGCACCTGGAACGTGGTCAGGACGAGGATGACCTGGCAGGGAGCAGCGGGCAGGGCTCAGCACTCACACCCCCGGCAGCCCCCCACCCGGGACACGGGGCCTGGCACCAGGTCCCACAGCCCCCCGTGGTGGGGGGCTGCCCACGGGTGCCAGCACCCCCAGACCCCTTGGGCGGCCCCCGGGGCTCTCGGCCCATCTTACCCCCGTGCTGTCGCCCACCCAGGACAGGGACACGGAGCCGCTGAGGTCGTCGAAGACGCACTGCGGGGGGAGAAGGGAGAAGTGACCCTAAGTCGGCGCAGGGACCGAGGCCGCAGCACAGGGCTGGGGACAGGGACCCGCGGCTGCCTCGGTGCCACTGGGCTGCCCCCAGCCCCGGCACTGGGTCGGGCTGGGGACGCGGGGAGCGGGCAGCGGGGCTGTGCCAGCGGCGCGGGGAAGCCCTGCCCAGGAAGGGGAGGAAATGAGGCCAGCGCCGCCGTTGTCCCCATTGCCCAAGCCGCACCCGCGCCAGCCTGTGCCACCCTGTGCCCTCCCCGAGAGGCGGGGGGGGGGGAAAAGGGGGAAGAAACGGAGCCGGGGCACGGGGCAGCGCCCGGCCGGGGGACGCGGGTGGCCGAGCCGGGACCCCCGCCCCTGCCCCTGCCCCTGCCCCTGCCCGTGGCCGTTTGGGGGCGGTTTGGCCGCGGTGGGGACAGCGGGGACACCGGCACCGCCTGCGCACCACGTCCCAGCGCACAGCCGGGTGCCAATTAGCGGCAATTAGCGGCAATCAGCGACCGGCCCGGCCGGCGGAACGGGCGCACCCTGCGGCGGGCGGTGGCGGGGACCTGGGGGTGACCGGGGTCGGGGGCACCGCCGGGCCCTGCGGCGTGGGGACGGGGGGCTCGGTCCGTCCGTGTGTCCGTGTGTCCCCACGGGCAGCACAGCGCCGCCGCCCCGCCCCCGCCGCCCCCGGCCCGTCCGTCCCGGCCTGGCCCCGTCCCCGTCCCGGTCCCGGTCCCGGTCCCGTCCCGGTGCCGCCCCCCCCCGCTCACCGGGTGCGTGTTGTTGCCCAGCGCGGCCGGGACGCCCCTGAGGCCTCCGCAGGCCTCGCCTCCCGCCGCCGCCGCCGCCGCCTGCCCGGCACCGGGGCCCGGCCGCAGCCCCGCGGCCGCCGCCGCCGCCGCCAGCGCCAGCGCCAGCCCCAGCGCCGCCCCGCGCGGGCCCATGGCGACTCCGGCCGCCGCCGCCGCCCCGCGCCCGCAGCCGCCAAGCCCCGCCCCCGAGCCCGCCCCGCCCGGCCCCATTGGTCGGCGCCGCGCCTCGCCCCGCCCCCGCGCCGCGCCCCCCTGAGGTGATTGGTCAGCGCGGATGTCGCTCTCCGCCGAGGCCCGCCCCCCTCGCCGGACGGCGCTCCGGCGCCTCGCGATTCGCCGCCCGCCGCGTCAGTCAGAGCCCGCCTCCTCCCGCCACTGGCCAACGGCCGTAGCACGATGGGGGCGAGCCCGCCCCCTTCTGCGTTGACCCCGGGCTCTAATCCACCTAGCGACAGCGCTCTGATTGGTGGAGCCCGGGGGGGCGGCGGAGCGATTTTCTGATTGGCCGAGGCGGCAGGTGGGGGGGGCGGCGGGTTTGGGGCAGAACCGCGGGGTTTGGGGCAAAAGGGGCGGGGGTGGGGCACGGTGCTGGTTTGGGGGCACAACGCCGGGCTTTGGGCCATACCTCTAGGCTTTGGGCCACAAATGCAGGTTTTGGGGCATAACCCCGTGGTTTGGGGCATAAACCCGAGTTTTGGGGCCGAACCCCAACTTTTGGGGCATAACCCTGGGTTTTGGGACATTGCCCCGGGTGCTGGGGCAAAGCCCGAGGATTTGAGACAGAGCCCCAGGTCTGGGACGTAACTCCCGAGTTAGGAGCACAAGGGCTGGGATTGGAGCAAAACCCCAGGTTTTGGGAAATAACCTGAGATTTTGGGAAATAAACCCCAGGGTTGGGAAATAACGCCAGGTTCTGAGGCAGAACCCCGAGTTTTGGGACCTAACCCCACATTTTGGGGCACGGCCCCAGGTTGTGGGCCCAGCTCCCCGCTCTCAGGCCCAGGAGCTGCCCGGCCTCGTGCTCCCTTTGCCCTTTGTCAGTGCAGAGCTGGAGCCCGTATTCCTGCCGCCTCAGCCTTCTGTGGTTTTTGTTTTTATTTTTTTCCCCCCTGAAAAGCGGCTTTTCCAGAAGTGGCCGGGTGAAAGCTGTGAGGAAACCCCCGGGGGTGCGTGGCTGGGATGTGGCTGCTGCCCCTCGCCCGTCCCAGCAGGGCCCAGCGCCCGGATGGCCACGGAGCAGCCTCTGTGGTGCGCCACCGCCGCCAGCAGCCGCGTGACAAGGGCAGGGCAGGAGGGAGCACAGCAGGAAGAATCAGCTTTTTGTGTTTTCCAGGACACAAACAAGCCTGGGAGGAGCGCCGCGGGGTCCAGCGCGGCAGCGGGGCTGAGCTCACACGAGGGGCTGCGGGGTGTTTGTTTCTTCCACCCCCACGGGCCGGTACCAGCCCCGGTTTTGCTCCCGGGGCAGTTTTATGAGCACATCACATAGGACAGTAGCTGGACGAGGGACGTTCCCCTGCCACTGCCCAGGCTCGTTTTGGGGACCAGGGCAGCAGCTTGGGGGCTCAGTGGGCAGAGCCAGAGCCAGGCACGGCTGCAGGAAGCGCCCTGCGGGACGAAGTCCACAGCTCCCCACATCTGTTCCGCCGCCTGCAGGGCCGGGCCGATCCCACTGATCCCGCTGGCTGCTGTGCCACAAGGAGGGGGCTCAGCTCTGAGCACTGGCATTATCCCAGCACTGCTCTTCCAGAGCTTCCCTTCCTGCGTCTGTTTGGCAGGAGCAAAAGAGGGGAAAAATGAGCAGGACCGGCCTGTTCCCCTCCGCAATGGGCCGAGGCTGGCTGCTGGGCCATGGGCAGCAGCAGGTGGCTGCGTGTGGCTTTGTGGGGCAGCAGGGACACGCAGAGTCCCCGCTACTGAGCTGAGCAGAAAGCCAGTGCTTTCAGCCCAACGCAGCGCTGGAAGCGGCCCCGTGCCAGGGCACTCCCCCCGGCAGCAGCTGTTTCTCCCGCAGCAGACAACGCCGTTTTGTTTGGGATGAGGCCGTGACCTCGTGGAGCAGGGCAGAGCGAGCGGCCCCACAGGACCGGGCTGCCCTCCCGGGGTACCAGGCACAGGGCAGAGCCCGAGGCTGCGCAGTCCTGCGCTGAGCCCCGCTTACTGCCACGCCTGTACCAGCCTCCGGTTCTGAGATGTTGTTTCGAGGATAAGGACAGAGATAGCTGCAGGAGATAACCAGAAACAAGAGCAATACGCCCCGTTAAGTGGGTGAGCAGTCTGCCAGTCTGCCAGCCTGCTCTCCAAACGAAGTGGTGTCTGCCCCATTTAACAGGCAGGGGTTGTCCCATTAACCCAGATCCATCCCACCCCGGCTCTGTTACTGTTATGGGCATTTCCAGCCTCCCACCAGGAGGAAACACAAACGCCCTCCGTTGTGGATTTCCTCCCTGGGTCAGAGCCCAGCTCCGCATCCTCCACGAGAGGGAGACCTGTGACCGGCGCAGGGCGAGCACCGCATGCTGCAGGGACAGGGACAGCGCAACCCCTGCCCGGCACCGGCTGCAGCGTGTCCTCATCCTCACCCACCCCCCCCGTGGCCGTTCTGAGCACCCCCCTGTTAAAAGGAACCCAGGGTAGAGTAACAAAATGATTTATTATCATTTCCTCTTATTGTAGAGATCAGTTATGTACAGAAACTGTAAAAAAAAACCTCAAGAGCCTTCTGAGGAGAGCAATTACAGATGCTGCTGGAAATAAAATCACAGGTACTGGAAGGAACTGAGAGTCGGTTCTTTGATCGGGGGAATGAGCCTTTGAGGGAGTCTCTCTCTCCCTTTCAAATATCCTTGATGACCTCTTCAAGCTCCTCTTTCGTGTACATGTGGAACTTCATCCCAGGCTCCACAGTGGCAAGCTGAAAGAGAAGGAGCAAGGGGTTAAGTGTGCCTGCATATGTGAAGTGACAGCATGGGGCAGGGAACAGAGAGAAGCCCCAGCAGACAGAACAGCTGTTCCTTCTCGGCGGCCTGATCTGCCAGCCCAGCAAGATCATTCCACCCCGTAACATGCTCTTTGATTCCCTAAAATAGCCGCCTGCTGCAGAAATAGCTTTTAATTGACTCAGTCTCCTCATAGTAGCAGCAGCAGGGAACATCTATTGGGAACACTCAGGCCCTGCTTCTGCTTGCTGTGGAAAAAGACCCCGTTAACACGAGCTCTGCATCAAACACTGCTTGCAAGAGGGGTTCCTTGCGCTGCACCTCAGCCCACCCCTGCAGCCTCTTCTCCTCCAGCAACCGAAGGTACAAATCCTGGCCCATTATTGGCTTTAAGGGGACAGAGGCAGCAAAATACTCTTAAGGGGAATGCAGATTTGCTCTGCAGAACTGAGGCAAACTGCCTGTTGATCACTAAACACCACCAGTAAGCAAGCTGGTCACCAGGATGCACCTTGTAACTGCCTGGTGCCCTACCAAGAGGGCCAAACACTGCCAGGACAACGTCTTACAAGGCACAGCCCAAGGGACGGAGCAGGGGACAACACAGTGCCCTGCCACCGTGCCAGGAACAGCGTGAGGCAGCGTCCAGGGCAGACAGCTGAGACATTTCACAGGGCAAGCACCAGAACAAGAGATACTTGAAGAATTGTGAGACTGCCAGAGGAATGCAAGTGGGACTTTTGTTTGCACCTAGCTCACGGCGCAGAAGCCCAAGGCGCAGGCAGCTGCTGCAGGCGGGCGAGCCAAGAAGCTGCAGGAGCTCCGGGGATGCTCCAGAGCTCGCTCGCAGATGCCCCCGGCTGTTGCAGGAAGCACGGCCAAACGCACAACAGACAGTAGTAGAGTCAGATCATGCTCCCCTTTTATTGCCCGAATAGCCTAACTTTTATAGTGAACTTAACAGGGGCGGACAGTGTTTCACACAAGATTATTGGTCAAAAGCACTCAGACAAACAACTACAAGAAAACAACCCCACCTGCAAGAAAACAACCCAACAACCCCTTGTGATTAGCAGTCACGTAGACCCTGTCCTTGAGGCCAGCTGCTGGTAACAATATTTTTCTGAATTCCTCAATTGGGCGATATGGGAACACTGTCATGGGAACTTCTTAGAGTTGCCCTGGTAGCTTGGTTTGCTCAGCTCCAGCAAGCCATGGGATTTTTGCTGTTTCAAAAAATCCCTCAACACCCAGCACCGCACCCACATCTGCGCTGCTGAGGGATCTGCATGCGTGGCTGCAGTGAGCATGGCTCAGGGGGTCCTGGCGTGTCCCACAGCCCCTCCTGGATCGCGAGGTCACCCTACGAACAGCGCAGGTAGAGGGAGGGCAGGCGCCTGCCTTCACCAAGGAGGAACAGCCTGCATGCTCCGGGTGAGACCCCTGCGCAGCCCAGGTTTCAGCAGGCGTTCTCAGACACATCGGGTGCTCCTACAAGCACCTCGAGCCACTGCTGCGTGTGCTGACACCGGCCCTGATGGACCCAACAGCCTTGAACACGCGTGTTTGCACCCTGCTACCCACACCAGGACTCACAGACACTGCTCAGCTTCTCCATGTCTGCTCGAGCCTGTACCTCACTGCCCGCACACCAAAACTTTACTTAACTATTGCGTTACAGGCTTCACAGGGGAGTAATTAATTTAAAAAGCATAACATTGTTTAAGGTTCCTGAACGTGGCTGCCAATGGATTTAACTGTTCCATGACCACACTCCCCCTCCCCTTCCCTTTGCTGCTAGGTGGAAAAAAAAAAAAGAAAAAAAAAACACACAAGAAAGAGAAGTGACTTGAGTAAATGAAGTGAAGCACCACATACTTCTGCAAAAGCTAGAAAGCAAAGCAGTAACTTCAGGTGAAAGATTTTCAACCAGAAGGGTGACTTGAGTCAATAGTGACCTTTTAATCCTCAGCACATTCCTCTCGTACTTAACCCCGATATGATTCCTCAATACGTTCAGCACTTTGCCAAGCACAGTTAAGCCCTGTCAAACGGGGACATGACATAAGGATACTGTACATGCTAAATTCCTTTGCACTGTACTGCGGATCTTGCAGAAGAGCCCTGAATCTGATCAGGAGAGAACT